ATAATGTAGAGACTGTACCGCAAAATAATGTCAGTTTTCGGGAATCCATGTTAAACCCAATCTTTGCGAGCCTTTTTGCAAAGAGACCTGCTCTTTCCCGAAAGCGAATTTTATAATAACGTAGAAACTGTTTTCACTAATTAAAGATAAGTTCATGAAACCAGAAATATTATATAGGATTTTTGAAAATGTCGAGCAAACTAAGTATCACTCTTCTATCTTTCTTACTAATTCCTACTTTTTTAAGTATAATTAACATCTTGTCCCATTTAACATTGTCAAAAGGTTAAATAAATGAAAAATGACAATAATAATGAAAAAATAACATAAGTGAAAACTAATTAACCAAACAATAAAGGATAAAAAACGAATGATTTTTTTAACCAGTCTTTTATTTTTATTATTAATCTTAATAGTAAATACATGTTTCTTATTACAGAAATTTGAATTAACTTTTTTTAATTATTCCAAGCAGGAACACTGCCCAGACTTCGGATGGAATCGGAGGCTATTACAAGGACAACGTGGTATAAAGGATTTCTGACTATTGGTTATCACCAGCATGACTCCCAGCACCTCCACCAATGTGTCCCATATACCCAGTACGTAACTATAATTGACAATAATAATAAAATAATAACATAAGTGAAAACTAATTAATAGTAAATACATGTTTCTGAAATATTAGAGTACAGTAATTTAAGTTAATTTTTTTCAATTATTTTAAACAGGAACACTGCGTAGACTCAACATGGAATCGGAGACCATCACAGGGATAACATGGTGTAAAAGATTTATAGCGATGAGTTACCATCACTATGTTATCCAGAACGTCCACTAATGCTATTAATGTGCCCGGTACGTAATTATGAATGTGAGTAATGATAAAAAAAATAAAGTAAGAGAAAATAAACAATGAGAAACTAATTTTAATTCTTTAATTACATAAATTCAATTTTTTTTTAATTTTGTCCAATAGAGACACTCAGCTGACTGAAAATCAAGTTTGCAAGGACATCGATTTTAGCAGATCTTTACTTCCCTCTGGAAGCTAAGTTGCAGTTCCGATAACACTTTTTTTCCACTAAGAAGAGAGACAGAGACCGGAAGGTGATGCAGGGAAGAACATCAGGTAAGATATTTTTCAAAATAAAACTTTACTATTCTTAATAGATAGGAAAATCGTAAATAATTCATAATTTCAATGCCAATGGATTATTATTATTCGTAATCGAATAATTCAGGGAGAGAGAAGCCTTCTTGTTGATTTTATTATAAATAAATATTAACAACCTTAGTATCAAAAAAATAAAGTAAGAGAAAATAAACAATGAGAAACTAATTTTAATTCTTTAATTACATAAATTCAATTTTTTTTTAATTTTGTCCAATAGAGGCACTCAGCTGATTGAAAATCAAGTTTGCATGGAGATCGATTTCACCTGATCTTTATTTCCTGCTGGAAGCTAAATCGCAGCTATGATAATACATTTTCTGCAATAAGAAGAGAGACAGGGACCAGAAGGTGATTCAGGGAAGAACATTAGGTAAGATATTTTTCAAAATAAAACTTTACTATTCTTAATAAATAGGAAAATCGTAAATAATTCATATTTTTAATGGTATTGCATTATTTACTATTCATGAAAGGAAAAATCTCTAATTATTCCTTCTGGAAAGAGAAGCTTTTTTGTTTCAACGTAATGAAGGAGATAAAGGTAAAATTATTTTGTCTTATAATTAATCCTCTTCTGTGATATTTTATACATATATGTATAGTTAAATGGATTGCCATTGTAGTGGTTTATTAGAGTTTTAATAAATATTAAATAGTGTTGAATGAATTTGTTGATAAATTGTAGGTACAGNAGAGTGCGATTGTGACCTCTCTCACACGCATTTTTCTTCATGCCTCGCAGAGTGTAGGAGTGTATGTGTATGAATGGGGGTGAGTATGAATGAGAGAGAGAGAGAGAATGTATGTACGGGGTATGAATGAAGATGCGTGTGAGAGAGTACGATTTAGACCTCTCTTACACGCATCTTTCTTCATGCCCCGCAGAGTGAATGGGGGTGAATGAATGAGAGAGAGAGTGTGTATGTGTGGGGTATGAATGAAAGTGCGTGTGAGAGAGTGCGATCAGGCCTCTCTCACACGCACATTCGTTCGTACCCCACCGAGGGAGGGGAGAGGGTAAACGAGGGGGGAAGGAAATAAAAGATATATATAATACGTAGTTGTTTTATTTAGACAAAAAAAAATTTTTCAGGCCTACCAGGTTTAGCGCTAAAGGTTTTTTTAATTCGAAGACCGTCCGGGACAACGCCCGACGACTGGAGCCCCGGATTCGAACTAGAAGCCCCCAGCACGCGTAGTTCGGAAGTTCCGTGGTACTAAGACCTGGAAACATTGAAATTCGAATCTCTTAGTCTCCAAAAATAAGGATCTCGAAAATTTCGAGACCCGTAGTTTTGGAGACCTTGAGATTCGAATTTCAAAGTCTCCAGGACTCGGTATCACGGAAATTCCGAAGTTCCGAGTGCTGGAGCCTTCGAAGTTCGAATCTGGAAGCTCCAGGACACTCCCGCCCGTAATCACCCGCGATGTAGCCGGTCCCTCGATGGAAGAACGACGACGAGAGGCTCCCAGATGTATTGGATCCTGATGGTGATGATTCTGCAACAAATATATACAGTTTCATTATAATTATTATTTAAACGCAAAATTTTTGTTTTTGTTTTATGGACTACCCATTGTACTATTATTCTGCTGTTTATTTCAGATGTTGGTATAAACATATAATTATTACACATTATAATTTGAAAAGTTTTATAGTGTTAATAAGTGTTTCTGTTATTTCAGGTTCTGCGATGGTGACCTATTTTAAAATTTGATGTGCATCCTCGGTCCATGATACAGTTCTACCATCTTCCACTTTTGGCAAATGGATCGTTTTTATCCCTATGCTGCATGTTTGGAATTCGTTCACTTCCCTGGTCGGCATTCAATTTTTTAAATTTATAATAAGAGTACAAGCAAAAGTAGCTTTATTAATCAAAAATTATCTTTCTATAATTACTTTAATTTTCTTGTAATACTTCAACGATTTGACAGGTGCTTGCAACTTCAAAATTCCATTGACCATGATATTTAACCCGGAAAACAATATCGATCCAATATTTTAGATTATCCATTTCCAAGGAGTTTAAAATTTTTTGGGATCTTTTCAGTTAAAGAATTAGAGTGCATACATGGAATGTCTCTTTGTCCCCTTTTTAAGCTTCTAATACCATCAATGGCCAATGTGAGCAACTGCAACAATTCATCATTTTATATAATGTTTGATCGGTGGTAGGTACCAGCAAAACCTTCAACGGCAAAAATGTATTTTGCATTTTACAAATAGAAAATACGTTTTGAAAAGTATCACGTTAAAAAAAAAGTTTTGGGTGTTTCATTCCCACCAGCCAGTATTGCTGGTGGGCGGGCAGTCCCTCTGGACTACGCCGGAAGGTAGGGCGGAAGGCCCTCTTTAGCCTGCTTTCAGNTCCTCAAGTAAAAAATTAATAAATTCACTTTCAGAAATATATATTATGAAAGCAAAAATTCATTTATGTTAATTTATTAAGGTGATAATTGTATTTTGATATATACTTACCTGCCTATGTCTATTTAAGTAGTTTAACAATATTTATTGAAATGTAAAAACAACTATTTAAGGAATTAATTTTAAAGTGACATTTATTTGAATTGTATTTATCACATATTTATTATTTTGTTACTAGAATTATTTACTTATAATATGTTAGGGTTCACGTGACCAAGTGGTCAAATATTTATCTACCACTTATTTGTTAATTTACGTACGAGGTATTGTTTTCATCACTGTAATAAACTGGGGAATAGGGGATTTATTTTGGGGAGAGAAAGAGAGAAAATGAGTTGGTTCATGATAAAAGGTGTGAGAATGTGAATATGAGGAGGAGGGTGAACACGAAAGAGAGGAATAAATGAATTTGTGGTTGATCATGAATGAGAGGGAGAGAACATATTCAGGGGTGAATGCGAAGTATGACTGATGGAGTGAGAGTAGAGAGGGAGAAATAGAACATTTGTAGGGGCAAATAAGTATGAATAGGGGTGAGTATGAACGATAGGAAGAAGTAATGCGTGAGATTGAGTATGAATGAGAGGGTGATAGAATGTATGGTAGTGAGCAACAGTAGGGCGTATATGATGTATGAAAGAGGTACCTAATGTATGAAAGGGGTAAGTACGAATGTGGGAGCATGTATGTATATATGTGTGGGGTAAGAATGAAGAAACGTGTGAGAGATTACGGTTTTTTATATCTCACACGCATCTTTGTTCATACCGTACAGAGTGAGGGAGTGAATGAGTGTGGGGGTGAGTAGGAATGAAAGAGAGAGAGAGAAAGGAATGTACCAAAGAAGGGTGAGTATGAATGCGAAAGTATGTGTGAGATATGAATGAAGAAGCGTGTGAAAGGGTACGATTTACACCTCACATGCATTTTCATTCATACCTTACAGGGCGGGGGAATGAATAAATGTATGAATGGGGCGGAGTATGAGGGAGAGAGGGAAAGAGTGTATGTGTGGGGTTTGAATGAAGGTGCGTGCGAGAGAGTGCGATTGTGACCTCTCTCACACGCATTTTTCTTCATGCCTCGCAGAGTGTAGGAGTGTATGTGTATGAATGGGGGTGAGTATGAATGAGAGAGAGAGAGAGAATGTATGTACGGGGTATGAATGAAGATGCGTGTGAGAGAGTACGATTTAGACCTCTCTTACACGCATCTTTCTTCATGCCCCGCAGAGTGAATGGGGGTGAATGAATGAGAGAGAGAGTGTGTATGTGTGGGGTATGAATGAAAGTGCGTGTGAGAGAGTGCGATCAGGCCTCTCTCACACGCACATTCGTTCGTACCCCACCGAGGGAGGGGAGAGGGTAAACGAGGGGGGAAGGAAATAAAAGATATATATAATACGTAGTTGTTTTATTTAGACAAAAAAAAAATTTTCAGGCCTACCAGGTTTAGCGCTAAAGGTTTTTTTAATTCGAAGACCGTCCGGGACAACGCCCGACGACTGGAGCCCCGGATTCGAACTAGAAGCCCCCAGCACGCGTAGTTCGGAAGTTCCGTGGTACTAAGACCTGGAAACATTGAAATTCGAATCTCTTAGTCTCCAAAAATAAGGATCTCGAAAATTTCGAGACCCGTAGTTTTGGAGACCTTGAGATTCGAATTTCAAAGTCTCCAGGACTCGGTATCACGGAAATTCCGAAGTTCCGAGTGCTGGAGCCTTCGAAGTTCGAATCTGGAAGCTCCAGGACACTCCCGCCCGTAATCACCCGCGATGTAGCCGGTCCCTCGATGGAAGAACGACGACGAGAGGCTCCCAGATGTATTGGATCCTGATGGTGATGATTCTGCAACAAATATATACAGTTTCATTATAATTATTATTTAAACATACATACATTGATAATAAGATGCAAAATATTTTCTATTGGAAACATATTATTAATTTTAATTATTAGTGTCAGTTATCAGTTATTTTGTATCTTATAGTAAAGAAAATACGCGAAATTGAAAAAAAATTACTAACTACTATAATATATTCCCAATAAGAAGAATATTTTTTAAAGTTCAAAGTTATAATAACTTTCAGAAATAAAAACCGCATGAAAAATAGAAACAAATTGCGACAAAATTAAAAAATGTGCAAAATTGGTCTTAAATATTTGATATCGAAACAAAATAACTCATTACTATTTAAAAAATGATTCTAAATTTTTACAAACACATAAAAAAAATAATTAAGGGACACTAACCCGTGTTGCTTCGATCGGACCATTGTTTTCATCCCTGCATTGGCATTCCAACGAACTTCCTTCAACTTCTCACTCCAGAAAGGAAAACCAGAAACGACTGAAACCAAACTAAATATTAGTTTTCATTATTCTGATAAACAATTACAAATATTACAAACTTTTGGATTAGCTAAAGAAGTCTACTAAAAGAAAGATTAATTACATTATATGACTGGGAAAACAATACTTATACTAGAAGAAAATACTTAAGAAACACTTCATTTTATTAAATTAATAAAATACTGATCCTAGTTGTATATAAACTTCAAAATTGCGTTGTTTAACAATAGCAAAAGGTTAATGAACAATTAAGCATTCCATAGCTATTAATATTTTCAAAATAACATACATACTTAACATTAAATTTGTATTTCGTTAGTTAGTTTGAAGAATTCATAAGACTCGTAAATTAAGTAAATGTTTTTTGGTTATTTAGTTGTTGTTTGTTGCTAATTATAAACGCTTGTTAATAGCAAATGTGATGTAGTAACATGCAGAAATAAGAAATGGCGAAAGCGCCAGGTATCATTCAGTAAAGCATAATGTGCTAAGCACTACACCCTTCAGGTGATTTATTTTAAAAAGACGTGTTTAAAGTTAAAAGGTAATATTTGTGAAACAAAAAAAAAGCAGTTAATACTGAATACAAACTATATTTCACTTTAATATTTCAATGAAAAGATAATAGTCAAACCTAGCACATTATACTTTAGTGAATAATACCCAACACCTTCGCTATTTCTTAGTTATGCATGTTAATACATCACATTTGCTATTTAGCAAGTATTTATAATAAGCAAAAAACAACAACCAAATGACCAAAAAACATTTATTATTTAATTTGCGAATTTTTTTCAATCTTCAAACTAACCAACGAAATACGTTAATTTAATCGTTGTATACAGGCAAAACGTGCAAGACATAAATTGACAATAAGAAATGGAAACAAAAAAGTCAAATGGACAAGTTTGATCTTAATAAAGCTATTTTTTTAATAAGTACTACTAATAAAAAGTCTTACAATTTTGTAGACAATATTCTAAAAGAGAATTACAACTTCTAAAGGAAATTCTTCAAAAAGTACAAGTCAAATTGTGTTCATAAAAAAATGATACCAGATTTTTATAAACACTTTAAATACAATTAATAAAAACGGTTAAAAGACACTCACCGATGTGGTTTTGGTCGGATCACTGTCTCCATCCTCGCACTGGCATTTCAACGAACTTCCTTCATCATCTGACTCCAAGAAGAAAAACCAGAAAAGGCTGCAACCAAACCAAATATTACTTTTCATAATCCTCATAAAAAATTAGAAATTTTATAAGCTTTTAAAATTAATTATATTACGTTACTGATCAAGCAATACCTATACTAGAAAAAATGCNCGAAACTGCAGCATCTACTAGACCTTGTTGTATATGAATTTTCTGAATTGAGTTGTTTAACAATCGCAAAAAGTTAATAACAGATTAAGCATTCCATAGCTATTAATTCTTTTCAAAATAATGTTTCATGAAAGCAAATAAATTACAGGGTAACTAATAGAAAGCAAATTATTAAAAAACTATCTTACTTATTTCAAAAAGAAGTTTCCTAATTCAAAATCGTTTTAAAATGTTAAATAATATTAATTGTTCTAAGTCGCAGCCCCATAATTTACTTCCTGCAAGCTAGTTATCTATTAATTATTATGTAATTAATTTATATTATAACTTTAAATCTGTATTTCGTTAGTTAATGTGAAGAATGCACAAGACTCACAAATTAACTAAGTATTTTTTAGTCATTTAGTTGTTTTTTGCTTATTATCCACACTTGCTAAACAGCAGATGTGATGTAATAACATTCATAAATAAGAAATGGCGAAGGTGCTGGGTATTATTCTGTAAGAAATAATAATAAGAGGAATAGCATAACGTGCTAGGCACTAAACCCTTCAGGTGATTTATTTTGAAAAAAGGATGTTTAAAATTAAAAGTTAATATTTCTGAAACCGAAAAAAGAGCAGTCAATACTGAATAGAAACTATAATTAAAGTGAGTACGTTTAATCATTGGTATAGGTACAGGCAAAACATGTAAGACATAAATTGACAGTAAGAAATGGAGACAAAAAGTTAAATGGACATGTTTGATCTTAATAAACCTATTTTTCAATAAGTACCAATTAAATAAAAAATCTTACAATTTGTGGAAAATAATGGTAAATATTCTAAAAGAGGATTATACTATTAAGGGAAATTCTTTAAAAGGTACGGAAGATAGCGAATGTGGTGAAATAAAATGCATAAGTAAGAAATGGCGAATGTGCTGGGTATTACTTTGTAAGAAATAATAATAAGAGGAACACCATAATGTGCTAAGCATTAAACCCTTCAGGTGATTTATTTTGAAAAGAGAATGTTTGAAATTAAAAATTAATATTTCTGAAACCGAAAAAAGAGCAGTCAGTACTGAATAGAAACTATAATTAAAGTGAGTACGTTTAATCATTGGTATAGATACAGGCAAAACGTGCAAGACATAAATTGACAATAAGAAATAGATACAAAAAAGTCTAATGGACATGACTGATCTTAAGAAACCTAACATTCCAGAAGAGGAATAAACTATTAAGGGAAATTCTTCAAAAAGTACGAGTTAAAATCTGTTCTTAAACAAAAAATCCCAGGTTTTTATAAACACTTTAAATAAAACATAAAAAAATAATTAAAAGACACTCACACATCTGATTTTGGTCGGATCACTGTCTCCATCGTTGCACTGGCATTTCAACTAACTTCCTTCAACGTCCAACTCCAGAAAGAAAAACCAGAAGCAGCTGTAATTAAACTACATATAAGTTTTCATAATCTTGATAAAGAATTACATATTTTATAAGTTTTGGATTTGATACTGAAAGGAAAATTAATTACTAGTGACTAGCCAAACAATACCTATACCAGAAAAAAAATTCTTAAGAAACACTTAATTTTATTAAAATAATAATAAATATTTTCGACAAAATTAATTATTAAACCTTCCCTTATCTAGTACGAGTTCAATTGTGTTCTTCAAAAAATGATACCAGACTTTTATAAACAGTTTAAGTAAAGTTTAATAAAAATAGTCAAAAGACACTAACCCATGTGACTTTGACTGGATCACCCTTTCCATCCTCGCAATGACATTTTAACAAACTTCCATCAACTTCTGACTCCAGGAAGAAAACCAGAAACAGCTGTAATAAAACAACATATAAGTTTTCATAATCCTAATAAACAATTACATATTTTATAAGTTTTTGGATTTCCTACAGAAGTCTACTAAAAGAAAATTAATTACATTACGTTGTATTTGAACCATTTAAATAAAAGATCTTGCAATGTTGTGGACAATAAATATAAAAATTAAAATATTAAGGTAAATTTTTCAAAAAGTACGAGTTAAATTGTGTTCTTAAACTAAAAATCCCTGGTTTTTATAAACTTTTCAAAATAANCCTGATGGTGATGATTCTGCAACAAATATATACAGTTTCATTATAATTATTATTTAAACATACATACATTGATAATAAGATGCAAAATATTTTCTATTGGAAACATATTATTAATTTTAATTATTAGTGTCAGTTATCAGTTATTTTGTATCTTATAGTAAAGAAAATACGCGAAATTGAAAAAAAATTACTAACTACTATAATATATTCCCAATAAGAAGAATATTTTTTAAAGTTCAAAGTTATAATAACTTTCAGAAATAAAAACCGCATGAAAAATAGAAACAAATTGCGACAAAATTAAAAAATGTGCAAAATTGGTCTTAAATATTTGATATCGAAACAAAATAACTCATTACTATTTAAAAAATGATTCTAAATTTTTACAAACACATAAAAAAAATAATTAAGGGACACTAACCCGTGTTGCTTCGATCGGACCATTGTTTTCATCCCTGCATTGGCATTCCAACGAACTTCCTTCAACTTCTCACTCCAGAAAGGAAAACCAGAAACGACTGAAACCAAACTAAATATTAGTTTTCATTATTCTGATAAACAATTACAAATATTACAAACTTTTGGATTAGCTAAAGAAGTCTACTAAAAGAAAGATTAATTACATTATATGACTGGGAAAACAATACTTATACTAGAAGAAAATACTTAAGAAACACTTCATTTTATTAAATTAATAAAATACTGATCCTAGTTGTATATAAACTTCAAAATTGCGTTGTTTAACAATAGCAAAAGGTTAATGAACAATTAAGCATTCCATAGCTATTAATATTTTCAAAATAACATACATACTTAACATTAAATTTGTATTTCGTTAGTTAGTTTGAAGAATTCATAAGACTCGTAAATTAAGTAAATGTTTTTTGGTTATTTAGTTGTTGTTTGTTGCTAATTATAAACGCTTGTTAATAGCAAATGTGATGTAGTAACATGCAGAAATAAGAAATGGCGAAAGCGCCAGGTATCATTCAGTAAAGCATAATGTGCTAAGCACTACACCCTTCAGGTGATTTATTTTAAAAAGAAAATATTTGAAATTAAAAGCTAATATTTCTGAAACCGAAAAAAGAGCAATTAATACTGAATAGAAACTATATTGAAATGAGTACGTTAATTAATTCGTTAGTATACAGGCAGGACGTAAAATAGTGAAAAAAAGTGAAATGAACATGTTTGATCTTTTAATGAGTACCACTTAAATCAAAAGTCTTGCAATTTTGTGGGTGGTAAAGGTAAATATGCTAAAAGAGAATGAAGGTATTAAGGGAAATTCTTCAATGACTACGAGTTAAATTGTGTTCTTAAAAAGATGTTCCCAGGTTTTTATAAACACTTTAAATAAAACATAAAAAAATAATTAAAAGACACTCACACATCTGATTTTGGTCGGATCACTGTCTCCATCGTTGCACTGGCATTTCAACTAACTTCCTTCAACGTCCAACTCCAGAAAGAAAAACCAGAAGCAGCTGTAATTAAACTACATATAAGTTTTCATAATCTTGATAAAGAATTACATATTTTATAAGTTTTGGATTTGATACTGAAAGGAAAATTAATTACTAGTGACTAGCCAAACAATACCTATACCAGAAAAAAAATTCTTAAGAAACACTTAATTTTATTAAAATAATAATAAATATTTTCGACAAAATTAATTATTAAACCTTCCCTTATCTAGTACGAGTTCAATTGTGTTCTTCAAAAAATGATACCAGACTTTTATAAACAGTTTAAGTAAAGTTTAATAAAAATAGTCAAAAGACACTAACCCATGTGACTTTGACTGGATCACCCTTTCCATCCTCGCAATGACATTTTAACAAACTTCCATCAACTTCTGACTCCAGGAAGAAAACCAGAAACAGCTGTAATAAAACAACATATAAGTTTTCATAATCCTAATAAACAATNTTTAAAAACAATTTAAATAAAATATAATAGAAATAATTAAAAGACACTAACCCGTGTGGTTTTGGTCGAATCACTATCTCCATCCTCGCACTGGCATTTCAAGGAACTTCCTTCAACATCGTAACTCCAGGAACGATAACCAGAATCAGCTGTAACCAAACTAAATCTTAGTTTTCATAATCCTGATAAAGAATTGTCAATTTTATAAACTTTTGAATTTGCTATAGAAAATCTACGAGAAAAATGAATTACATTTATAAATAATCTTTCATAGTACTTCGCAAATAAAATGATAAGTGTATAAAACTTTGTAATTTCTAGAAATTCTAGACTTCTGACTTGCTTTCGTGTATTTTTAGTTTTGTTTTGGTCTTGCATTTGCACATCACTACTTTAGAGTCGGAAAAACATTCGAGTAAGGAAAATTTCTGCTTTCCATCAAACTTTTTAATTTTCGTTTCAAAAACATAGCTACTGTTTAAGCCTACCGCTGGTCCATACTTTTACACTGTAGAGGCTAAGAAACCAAAAACCAGCCAGTAACCACTCAAAATTAAAACATATATATATTTTATTTTAGTTATTTCCGAAAAATATTAAGATGAATTCGTATTAAAGATATATTGCATTCGAATCTGTAATTATAGCAATAAATTTTCGAAAAAAAATCAAACTAAAAAGTTTAAAGTAAATATAAAACAATATGTATGTTAAGAGAACAAAAAATATTAGAGTTACAGCAGTTTGGGTTGAAAAAGTTTGACTGTAGGCATGTAAATCTGTGCAAAATAAAAATTTTTTGAAACATTCACTATTTTTAAGTACACTGCATATATATACATATAATTGTACCTTGGAAGGCCTTACGAATGAATGCATGTCTCAAAAAGATGAGTTTTTACGACTTGGCGTCCTTTGAGATTTTTGATCAACACGTCGAGAATTACCACAATCCAAAGTTTCAAAGTGCGATATTTCCAATTGATTCCTACAAGTTCCTTCTCCATCAGTTGGCTGTAACAATATCAAACATTAGGTAATTTATTAAAGTTGAAAATCTTTATATTTAAGCTTTTGAAATTATATTTAAAGGAACACGACATATGTAGATAAGTTGATTAAATATAAATAAATTCAAAACAAACAAATACTCATGAAAAAAAAAACAGAAAAAGGTTTTATTCCATATTTCATTTAAGGATAATTAATATTATAAGTTTCGTAACTTCGAAATAGTTATTTATACAATAAGATAGATAATTTACTTACAGTACAAACCGAAAGTTATAAAAGAAACGATGACTTTTCAGTTATACTACAATTTCTGATTAACCTAATGTCCAACTTTTGTCATGTCTCTTTCATTCGCTCATTTTACTTTAAAAATTAGTTTAAACCATTTTATTTTCGATATTAATTGCATTAGGCACCCATAGTATGTTCTTATTTCAATTTTTCTAAGCTTACCTTTCTAAATACGTTGCCTCATGAACTTAATAAAAATAGTTAAACTAATCATAATGCCCAACATTTTGTGGATTTATTTATCATACTAGTAAGGTACCAAAAAAATTCTAAAGATTCGTCAATACATTAATTGTTAATGCGTGTTACACTAATTAATTATAATCATATACATTTGTGCTTGCTCCTGTATTTATTACCAAAAAAGGTTAATTTATTCAAAGAGAAATCATTAATATTCAAAACAAATCTTTAATTTCCATTTTATATGTTTACAAAATAGGTTGTTCTCTCAGTCGACCGTTCAAGGATACAACTGTTAAAGAGAGCAAGTATTCGGAGTACAAGAGAAAGAAAATTGCGCTTGAGAAACACATCAAACTATACAACATACTGTAAAAAGGACTTAATAATCAATTAAAAAATACGAAAAATCAGCTACAACCCTTGATAATAGTATATCTCTTAAACAATCAATGAGCTTTCAACTTTCGTTATCAATTTTCGATATCAGCCTCCACATATTGCACAATACACAAATTAATGCATACTCTTTGAAATACAAGTATCAAAAAATTTAATTTATACAAAGATGAAACATTAATATTCAAAACAAATTTTTAGTTTCCATTTTATATACAAAATAGATTGTTCTCTCGGTCAATCGATCAAGCATACGACTGTTAAAGAGAGCAAGTATTCGGAGTACAAGAGAAAGAAAATTGCGCTTGAGAAACACATCAAACTATACAACATACTGTAAAAAGGACTTAATAATCAATTAAAAAATACGAAAAATCAGCTACAACCCTTGATAATAGTATATCTCTTAAACAATCAATGAGCTTTCAACTTTCGTTATCAATTTTCGATATCAGCCTCCACATATTGCACAATACACAAATTAATGCATACTCTTTGAAATACATGTATTTAAAAGTTTAATTTGTTCAAACAGAAAGCATTAATATTCAAAAGAAATTTTTAACTTCCACGATATATACAAAATGGGTTGCTCTCTCATTCGACCGTACAAGCATACAACTATTAATGAGAACAAGTATACGGAGTATAGGAGAAAGAAAACTGCGTTTGAGAAAAAGGTAAAAATATTCCTAACTGCGGAAAAAGCTTAATAATTATAAATAAAAACCCTCGATAATAAGTAGTATAGCTTTCAAACAATCAATGAGCTTTCGATTACGGCTTGTTAATTTTTGAAATCAGTCCCCATATATTACAGAATAAACAATTTGACGCATTCCCTTTATAATACAAGTATCAAAAAATTTAATTTATACAAAGATGAAACATTAATATTCAAAACAAATTTTTAGTTTCCATTTTATATACAAAATAGATTGTTCTCTCGGTCGATCCATCAAGCATACAACTGTTAAAGAGAGCAAGTATTAGGAGTACAAGAGAAAGAAAATTCTTAATTGCAGAAAGAGCTTAATTATTAATAAAAAATGCGAAAAATCAGCTGCAACTTTCCACAAAGGTATAGCTTTCGAACAATCAATGAGTGTTCAAATTTGATTGTTAATTTTTGAAATTTGCCACTCACATATTAGACAATAGACAAATTAACACATTCTCTTTATAATACACCTTCAAAAATGCTTACTTTATACAAAGATAAGGTATAAGTTTAATACAATTAGTGAGCTTTCAATTTTCGCTACAAATTTCCGAAATTAGCCACCGCCTATTACTGAATAGACAAATTAATACATTTCCTTTGTAATACAATTACAAAAAAGTTAATTTATACAAAGATAAAACATTAATTTTCAAAATAATTTTCTATTTTCCATTTTAAATGTAGCTAACAAAATGAGTTGTTCTCTCGTTCGCTACGTTTGTTAAAGAGAGCAAGTATTCGGAGTAGAAGAGAAAGAAAATTGCGCTTGAGAAATAGATAAAATAAACAGCTTAATAATAAATAAAAAATATGAAAAGTTGACTACAACCCTCGACAATGGTATAGCATTCAAACAATCGATTAGCTACACATATATTACATAGAGTAAATATGCTAATTTCCGACTTTTTAATAACAATAAACGGGAGGGGATACAAAACAACAATCAGAACTATAAGCGCAATGTTACACTTTCTTATTATGTATGTATTGATAGATGCTCAATAAAATATTCAAATAAGAATAAGGATAAACACAGCTCAATTAAGGAATGAAACACTTATCAATTAATTACCATTTTTAAAATTTAAATACATCTAAATTGTTGAAGACCTAATTTTTTCGATTTCAAAAAGTGCAAAACATTCCGTATTTAAATCAGATCCTTATCCACCAGTGAAACGCCGAAATGACCGGACTTACAGCTTCGAATTCTCGAAACTGCAAGCCCGACCATTTTGACGCTGTCACTGAGGGAGAAGGATAAATACGGAGTCGCGGTAAATTATATAAGCTAGCTATCCAGCCGCTCTTTCCGAAGCCCCAACCTCATACAATGAACTACCTAGGCGCCATCAGCAGTTCATCTGAGTGGAACAACTTACTCAAGAGACCGTATAATATACCTAAGCGTGGCTGCTAAGAGCGAGCTATATGTATTAACTAAACGGAAACAAATGGCGGTGAAATGGTTAAACTAAAAGACATTTATTCACGCCTATTA